CAATGGAAGAAAGAAAGAAAGAAAAGATTGACGTAACGCATTTATATTCATATAAGACGTAACTGCGGAATAATAATGGTTGACGATTCTTGAAAATGTAAAAAGTTGGAAAAATGTAGTACAAGTAGACTTTGGTGCTTCCAAGTGACAGTAGCAAAAGACTATTTAATAAGAATATAAGCTTTTTTCTTCTCTTACTCTCCACCAGTTTTCATTGCAGTTAACTGACAAAAAATTATATTCATTATCATTAATTATCAATCTTTAAGTATGTATTATCCTATTTTTAACAAAGACAATTTACTAATAAAGATAAAAGCTATCTATAAAAAGCACAACAAAGTCTCAGTTTGTAGTTTTTATCTTTGAGCCATACATCGCGGAGTGGTGTGACTAAATTACTGTAAGATGTAAAATAAGAGTATATTGAGCATAGGAAAGAAGAGAAAGGAAAGGAAATAAATGTAACTATTCAAGCAATAGATACTTGTGACAAAAGAGAGAAGGGGAAAGGAGTGTTTTGAATAACTGATTGCCAGTGAAAGGTCCATAATAACCATAGTGTAGTCTAGACAATAGTGGGTATAGTGTGGGCTTGTGAAGGATGGATGAAACGAGATGCTTATAGAGTACATAGTAGAGCGAGCATATGTGCAGAGTGTAGATTCATATTGGTATAATAAGGTTGCAGGATACATTGCCATATTGGGCGTTTGAAAGGGCAAAGAACCAGAAAATAGACAATACTATCTTCATTCGCTTGACACATACGACATTGAGGGGAAGGAAAGGCATTCATCTAATGTAAATAAGCCATTGTGGGCAATTTAGAGTGAAGGACTCTATACCACACTGTCCGCGTTTGTAGCAGTATATCCGCTTTTCAGAACATCTTGAAGCGTGACATGCGGGCGGAGAATCTTGGCTTAGAAGGACGTGGTCCTGGGAGCTGTCTAAATTGAATGGAGGAGATATTGAAATTGTTGTGAAATTTGATCTTCTGTGATATGTAGGGCATCTTGCATGAATAAAACCCAAAAGAACGGTTGCAATCGAACTGTTCTTTGTTGGAATATATATTTGTACAGCCACTAACACGGGCCAGGCTTAACAGGACATTTACCTCTCACTCGCAAACGTAAGCGATTAATTGCATCATCGATAATAAAAAAAGTTTGAAGCCAAAAACCTGGCGTGGCGAATATTTGGAATGGAGAGGAACAGGTTTGCTAAAGATAACAACAGGAGGTTTGCAAGAGATAATGAGGAAAAATCTGGGTTGAATCCAAAATGATCAAAGGCTTTGTAGATAGGCTGCATGATAGACAGAGCATGAATGAGATCATATTTCCGACATGTAGGCACAAAGAAGGAAAGAAGGCGGAAATGATCATTCCCAGCAATATTGGACAAGTGGTGTTGTACAATAGACTGTATCAGCGAGGGAGCTCCATTTGGGGCAAATATATGACGAAGATGTCTTACTTGCAGAACCAAATATTGCACTTGTGAGTTCATAACGCCTAAGCTACCTCTTGCTATAGGCGAACAAAGTTGATCAAAGGATATATATGGACGTTTGCGTTGCCAAAAGAGAGCATAAATGATCTTTTGCGATTCCTTGAAGAAGTGCTGCGTCGGGTGGAGTAGTCTCAAGCAATACCATATCTTGGTTAAAATTAGTGTGTTCATTGCTGTTGCCCACCCTCCGAGTGAGATCTGTCGCTGAGAATAAAGTTGCACTTGATCACGAACCGACACCAGTAGTTTGTCCTGTCAGAGCCCTCGCTGAGAAGCAGTGAAACGAATGTAGAAACCTAGATATCGAAATGGCACTGGTGAGAGTTTGGTGTGATAAATTGTAATGTGCTACTGTTCCATTAAATCCCTCTAAGGCTCGCTCAGGCGGTCACTAAGAGCAAAAGCCTCCGTCTTTTCTTGATTAACTTTGGCGTTGGAGGCTATCGAGTATTTGGTTAAGTGATATTGCAGACGTGTATAGTCGAAGGCGTTGGCCAGTAGTGTACAAATGTCATTTGCATAGACCAAAGCTTTTCGTGGTAATCGCTGCCACCACTACGAAACGATAACCAAGCATGGTGCTCCCTTGATTAATGGCCATCAGCGAACGCTCCAAAACTAAGTTGAACAGAATAAGTGACAGCGGACCATCTTGCCGTAATCCCTGTTGTTGAATGACGATAGGTGAGAAGAGCCCATTGATATTGATTGGAACGAGTTCCCAAAGAAGAGATAATGAATACATTGAATGAATTTGTCATGAAAGCCAAATTCTACTAACACATGAACCAGATACTTGGGATTGAGGCGATCATAGGCCTTCTCCTGATCCAGAAGAAGATTGACTCCAGGATGCCTACGAACTTTCGCTTGATCGACCTGTAGTTTGAGTACAAACCTATTGTTGTCAATGAAGCGTTCGCTCATGAAACCTGTTTGGGAAGACTATATGATTTTATTAGCAAGGTCTGCTAATCTTGCGTTCAGGATCGGGGTGAAAGTCTTTGCATCGCAGCTGATCAAAGGTATTGGTCTCCAATTTTTAAGTCAGTCAGATTCTCCTTTTCAAATTTCTTTTCAAGATGAAGGGGTCGATGCCTCGGTCAATGCGTGATTGTGAACTTTCAGAAGTAGTGACTTGAGGGAGAGGATATTGAAGAGGATCTTCAGACATTGGTATCCCAGACCATCATTACCTAAGCTGCTGTGTAGGATTCCTCTGTGCCTGCTCCAATAAGTCGTCAATTGTTATAGGTTCCATTACCTCTTCATTGTCATCTTGATAGACCCTATGGTTGAAGTATACGTGGGACATATTAACCTCAATTTCATCATCGGAAACAGAGTCTGTTGTATACAGGTGCTGATAGTAGTACAGTACTATATCTCGCATAACTGTCGGGTCAGAAGTACGATCTGAAGGTGATGTATGTGCTGCAGTGGCTGCTGAAAGGTGAGTATCCAAAATTTTTACAGAGAAGATATATTGTTGCATGGTACACTGTTGGTATAGACGATTAAAGAATGCAGCGGATTTCTCACCTTATTTTCTCCATCTAATGCCTGCTTTTAAGCCTGCGATAGTTGCCAATTCTTGCTGCAATTGTCCTAACGCTTGATCAATAGGTGTTATAAGCTGTACTCGTATGAACAATGGCGGTTTGCCTCTCAAAATATGACTTCTTTTGGCGTGTGATGCTTCCTCCAGTCCACGTACGAGTAGCTACAGTTCCTAATCACTCTCTTAGCAAATAACTTAACACGATCCCATTTATCTGCTGCAGTTAATGCTTATTTGCAGCAAGAGTATACACTAGGTCAGTAATCTTGACAGCAAATAGTGGTTTAAGCGCTGGATGAGAAACATAAATCGGATTGGCTCGCCAAAGTCCTGGTCCCGTTGGGACTCGATCAGCAACGAAACTGACATACAAAACAGAATGATCGGGCCATTTATGATGCAGGCAGATGATGTGAATGTCTTTAAGATTATGATGAATGTTATTACTAACATAGATATAATCAATGACAGTACTGTTGCTCTGAAGGCGCTGAAACGTAGGAATAGCTTGTAATTCGTTCATTACCATGCTATTATGGAAATATTCTTCCTGTAAAGCTCAGTGATCGGGCGAAGTGGTATAGGACAATAATTCTCAGCAAGAATTAGAATAGCCAATATCTCATGTACTGATCAAACGATCGAGAGATATATGTTAATACAATCCGTACACCATTTTCGTGAGTTGATTAAAGAAGCTTTTTTTAAAACATGCTAGGAAGAAGAACAGAGTACACAGTTAAATGAATTAGGATTGAGTACAGAAATGTCTACAAGACAATAATCGAGTGAATGAACAACAATGCAATGGATTAACAGAAATAAATAATGTCAAAAGCAAAGCAATGATACACACATACCTAAGCCTTGTGAGAGGAGCAAAGCTCTCTCAGCGCTGCAGTTCGGAGCACTAAATATTAAAGTGCATCCATTGGCCCTTCCTTTTTTTTGTATTTCTTTTACGCATCATGTCAGTACCTTCACAGACACCGCTAAACAGTCCTACATTACCTTCACAATCAGATGTCGAAAGAATCGTTTCAAATTATTTTATAAAGAGAGGATATAGCGCATCAACAATACAACAGGAAAGTATTTCCTTGGATCATCTATTACAACAATACAAAACAACCAATGACACATGTGAATTGTTAAAATCAATACAAGAACACGATTTTGAAGACATTGAAACTGTCAAATCAAGCTATGAACACTTGAGAGAATGGATAACAAATGCACTTGATATATACAAGGTAAATGCTTATGGAATCTATACTTTAATAGAATCTTATATATTTTTTAGAATGAACTCCAAGCTCTATTGTATCCAATATTCATTTACATTTTTCTACAATTTAAAGCAAGAGGACTTGTTGACTATGGTAAGCTTTTTTGTCTCTTTTGTATAAACATTCCAATCGTAATTATTGTACATTTCACAGCAAATGACTTTTTTCGTGCTTTTAAACAAGATCATATGCATGAGGACGAATTGAACACAATTTTCAATACAACCTCGATACAGGACCAATTAGCTCATAAATATACTGTGAAGCTATCACCTATTCCACTCGAACTGTTTTATCGATTCCTTCATGAAAGTCAGCATAAAACACTCTTGAGGATTGTTAACCAATATTTGATTATAAACAAGCTACCACCGGTATCTGCAGGCGGAGTATCCGATCAGGGGAAGGTAAAGGTTTGAGCCATATATCAAAAAAGCATTCATTGATTAGACATGGGAAATAAATACAAAAGAATGTTATAGAGTATGGATGAAGCAAGGATTAAATCAGAAGAGGAAGCAATGGAACTGGATGAACCGTTTATCTTGCCATAGTAAGAAAAACTCCCCTTCACTTTTACCGGTACTCATACATATGTCAATAGTGAAAATACAGACGTACAAGCAGAAATAGAGTCATTGAATGAAATAAGGAAGCTTGTATCTTTAGGGAGCCTCGCACAACCAAGTATATGTCTTTATACGTTTCATCATACACAGGATCAGTAAATATGAGCTATTATGGTGCCATTGTATGTGCTAATTGATTGTTTTATAGGCTCAATTGTATTGTTATATCCGAGGATGCAACGCTTATAGCCGGAGGCTTTTCGGAATCATTTATCAAAGTATGGAACCTAAAAGGAGAGAAACTAAGAGATAGAAATGAAATGGACAAAAGTAAGGCAAGCAGTTCTTCATCAGTAAGCCAAGACTAACTGCCATCAAAAGATCTCCCAGGAACGCAGTATAAGAAGCTAGTAGGTCACTCTGGTCCTATTTTTGGCTTAAGCTTTAGTCATGATAACCAATATCTTATATCATGTTCAGAAGACAAAACAGGTAAATAACAAAAAGGGGATAATTAAAACAATGATATAACATCTTGATAGTAAGATTATGGTGCCTTAAAACATACAAGAATCTGGTATGCTACAAAAGTCACAACTATCCAATTTGGGATGTAGATTTTGGACCATACGGATTTTACTTTGCTACTGCCTCACATGATCGGACAGCAAGATTATGGAGTTGTGATCATGTGCATCCTTTACGAATATTTGCAGGGCATTTATCAGATGTGAATGTACTTAGAGCATACAACATAATAGTGCAGGTTCTTATTTTATTCTATATAGACAGTAAAGTTCCACCCGAATTCTAAATACCTTGTCACTGGATCTTGTGATAAAACGGTACGACTGTGGGATGTTCAAAGAGGTACATGTGTTCGAGTATTCACTGGGCACACTGGCTCAGTTCATGCAGTGGCCATATCACCCAATGGTCGCTGGATGGCATCTGCAGGAGAAGACACTAATATTATACTATGGGACTTGGGAAGTGGCAGACGGCTCAAGACGATGACAGGACATACAGGGTTTATTTATTCTATTACATTTAATGCAGATAGTACCATTCTTGTCTCGGGAAGTGGAGATGGGACTGTGAGGGTGTGGGATGTGAATAAAAACACACCAAATGAATTTAGAGAAGAGCAATCGTCAGATTTTAAAAGGACAAAGCTGAATGGGAAAGCAAAGGATAAAAAAGACAAGATGAAGCCATTACTCATGGATTTGAACGCAAAAAAGAGCAAGAGGAACATGTTGGAAAGGTAAGGTCTGCATTGATGAATGACTAAGAGTTTAATAATGTATTATTGCTATTGTTATTAGTGATGATCACCTGTCAATGTTCTCTACTAGAAACACACCAATTTACATTGTGCAATTTACCAAGCGAAACTTATGCTTAGCTGCTGGTGCAAAAACCCATTTACCGGCATTTGATTTATAATATAAAAGAATAAAGTTTAGCTAGGTTTATTTAAAAAGAGAATAAACAGATATACAGTGCTAACGGTGCCAGATCGTGTCGTCCTTTTTTACTTTTGGATTTACTTGCATATCCAATCACTTTGTAGCCAGTTTCTTTCATCTCTTTGATATTTTCTGGTATCTTGGTAAATGTATTACAATATCTTCTGAAGCTTGCTTCTAGAAGTGAATAATATTCATAGTACATAAATATATGCATACAATAGAAAAAATGGCTCTTACCAACAAATGTTGTTCTTGAGGACATAGAGGAGACGAGCAGCAACTTTCTGTCCCGCCTCATTTATTTTTCTTGGTGTAGAGTACGCTACGAGGAAATCCTCGAGAAGGATAGTGTTACAGGCACAGCCTGTGATGTCGTCAACAAAACTTTTCAATGTGTGGTGCAGCGTTAAACTTACTCAGGAACAAATATTTTTCCATATTCTTTGATGTAGAATGTGCATTTATAAAGCCGCCATCCTGGTTTGTGTTCTTTTCAAGGAGAAAAAGATAAAAAGTAATGTTGTTATTTGTTTAGAACCAAGATCATTCACGTGTAGTTATGATAAATCCATATTTTATATCAGAGAGAGTGAACTGGACAGCGTTAGGTTAGGCAGAGACTTTGGTAGTGTGAAGCTGTATAGTGACGACATATGTGGCGCCCTAAGGAAGCGCCCCTAGCATTAGTCTTCTTGTGGATTTCCTCGAACGTATAGTGTACACCCTTTTCTTTTTAAGGTGGCTTCCATTAACTGCACCATTTAGTTAATCCATTGACAGTTTTAGCATCAAGAACGTTAGTAAGATAGGATTTTGTGCTCATATAGATCACTATTGTCCATGTCAAAGGGCAGATATACTGTATTAAGAAAATCCACGAGCCGTGCTTGATCGACTGTATAAAAGATATAGGCATGTAAGTCACAGAACTATATTTTCTGGTACTCGCCTATTTTCTGCTTCTGTTTGTTTGTTCTCATTGGTTGTACTTTCATTGTGGTATTTTTTGCTCTTGTCTGGGCTTTGATCAATTGATTTCACGCAAAGTACAATTGGCATTATATAAGAATACAAGTAGACGGAATAAGACCTTCTGTAATTTTTTTTATGAAAAGAGAAATAAAGGGATTCATGGCAAAAGAGGGGAATTGATCTTTATATGCAAGAATAGATGTTGTCAATCAATTACATCCAGTGATTTATATCATATGACGTGTTATCAGCTACTACAGACTATAGATGCCATGAATCGGTGTTGTAGGCTTAGCATGACCTATTATGTTAATATCTATGATGACTTTGATTTGTATATGAAATATATATTGACTATATTACGTCAAAGGATGTAATCTTCTTTGATATAAACGTAGAAATACGACACAACATAGAGGACGACGTAAACTGAGCTTAGATAAAAAAGAACGGTGTACACTATTTTCGTTTAACTCCATTCAAGTTACAAAATCGCCAATATGATTTGCAAGGCCACCATCTGGCATCGTTTGCACTATACAATTTAGTTTATTACAATTTGTTGACGGGATCTACTCTGCTAAGGAAGCTCTTTAAGAGTTGATTACATTCTTCTGGTTTTTCCCAAAGAATCCAGTGACCAGAGTCACTGACAAGGTGCATTTCAATACCAGGAATGAATTCA